GCTGTTAAACGCATTCTTCGTTATGTTCAGTTCACCCTGACATTTGGTATGCATATTCGGCCGACTTCCTCTCGGGTCCTTTCGGCCTTCTCTGATGCAGATTGGGCTGGTAGCCCAGATGACTGGCGATCCACGGGGGGTTATGCAGTATTCTTTGGCTCTAATTTGATCGCCTGGAGTGCTCGGAAACAGGCTACTGTGTCACGTAGCAGTACTGAAGCTGAGTACAAGGCTGTGGCTAATGCTACTGCAGAGATTATTTGGGTGCAGTCTTTGCTTCAGGAGTTGGATTTGTCTCAACCACAGCCTCCTATTCTTTGGTGTGATAACATCGGTGCTACATACCTTTCTGCAAATCCAGTATTTCATGCCCGAATGAAACACATTGAAGTTGACTATCACTTTGTACGGGAACGTGTATCACAGAAGCAACTCCAGATCAAGTTTATCTCATCTAAGGATCAACTTGCAGACATCTTCACTAAGCCTTTACCGCTGCCACAGTTTGAGGCTTGTAGGCGCAATCTTACCCTTCTCAGTTCTTTAGAAAGTGGCTAAGATTGAGGGAAGGTGTTAGACTATGTATAGCTTCTGTACCTATGTACGTATATGGTACATATTGTAACACAACCATTATATATAATGAGATAAGCCACCCCTAAAGGGTTGTGCTGGTTCCCCAAAACTTATTGTCTTACAGCCCAGCAGCGGCAGGAGAGGGACCTGGCCGATCGATCGTCCAGTGCGCGAGTGGGTCAATTATTGGGGCCGGTCGACTCGAGCAGGGTGCGCGCTACACGCCGGCCCGGCGCGAGCCTCCCGTCGTCCCGGCCGAGTGGACTGCCGGCGCGCGCGCCCGCGTTGCTACGCCTGTGCCGTGGGCGCGCACTGTGCGGCGCGCATGCATGCTCTGGTGGCGAGCGGGACGCGTGCATGCGCACGCGCCGGCCGCCGTACCCTGCGCCTCCACTACTGGGCGGAGCGAGTGGCATACGCTTTGCGCACGCGCCGGCCGGATGAGCCGTACCCGTACGTACCTCGCCGGTGGGCAACAGGCAGTCGACCGACGCGACGCGCCTTGTCTCCTTGCGTGGATCGGCGTCGATTATTTGTGGCGAGGCCAGGAAGAGGACAGGGTTCTTGCTGCTGCCAGTACGGTGCGTACTGCCCTAGTACGTACGCCCGCACGATGCTGTGGTAATAATGCCGGGGATGGGTCAGGAACGCTCGCATGTATGTACTGCGCTGGTGTTACGAGGTGGCAGGTTAAATTGCTCTGTTGGATGCAGATAAGGTTCTGCCGACAAGTCGCTGTGAAAACACGGCACAACTAAAGTACGTGTCCCATTATTGCCACGCAAAGAATTTGCATTCCACGAGCGTTATGAAACTTGTTCAATATACTAGAAGGATGCCCTAAGGCTAACTCCACCGCGTGACCCCGTCTTGTCCGGCCCGTGGCCCCGTCCATCTGGGGTAAAACGGACAAGCCAAACGTACATCAACACAGGTGTGCCTAACTGAAGTATGTGTCTCATTATTGCCACGCAAAGAATTTGCATTCCACGAGCGTCGAGGGTTTTCATTATTGCCACGCAAAAAATTTACAGTTCTAAGTAATCTGTCCAACAACAACAAATATCCTAACTTAGAAACACGTAATCTAAGCAATCGTACACTCTTAAAAAGATGGATGGTAAAAGAGTAAGGTCTAGCAGTACACGTGAAGTAATTACCCGCTCTAGAAACCATTGGAGATATGAGCTGAGAATTCCCGAAACAAGAAAAATGTGACATCCAGTCTCCAAGATCGGCCCGAATCAATTGAGCATAAGCCAGTATGAACAACACTTGTACAAATTTTTGACTGAGATGAAATTAGCACAATGTAATCCTGTAGTGGAAAGAATCATATATGAATGGGAAAAAAATAAAGATTATAGGGGAACCTAGCAGATCACCACGTTGATGGATGTTTTGTCGCGGGATCGAAAATGGTAAGGGAGGAAGCATGTATACACGGCAGCTGAAGGATGGGAAAACAAAGAGGCAGACATCCATTAATCAACGCCAGCGAGAGGCGGACATCATCCAACATGAATGCCTGAAGAGAAACTAAAGAGTAATTGTTTGCCTTCGATTCCCGGCGGAGCAGTTTCGCTCGACGAACAGACGAACAGCGAGACGAGATTGGCATGAACGTGCATTGGTGTGCGGTCCGGAGGACCGAATCATTCCAATCCTGCAGAGCCGCACGCCGTATCGCCTCGGCTAGGTCGCCATCTTCGCTGACATCTCTAGCGCCTCCTGTTAGCTCGCATTCAGAGAAACAACAGAGATGAGGATGGGTTTGACTGAAAGATGGAGCACTGGGTTCTGAAATTTTTCTCTACAAAATTTGTGTACCTGTGTGCCAACCTACCTCTTGTTTTCTAAATCGACCTTGTTGCCTACTAACACCATCACCAAACCTGGGTTCCCTGTTTGGACATGTGCATATAAGCGCTGACATACAGGTGAGTTCCACCGACAAAAGGCAGAGTGTTCTTTGGATCCAACTGAAGCAGTCCGACAAGATGGAACTACAGAAACATGTTCAGTCATACCTAGTCTATGAAGCTCGTCAACCCACCTCTTCCTTGCTCGGATGTAAGAGTCCTGACGCCCACACAGGAAACATCAAACAGATTAACGTGAACAGAAAGCAGGTGATCAACTCATCCGGCACATGTTCAGGGAAGATCACTAAACGAAGTACCGAGGAGAAGAGAAGATCTCCCTCACCGTGCTAGTGATGTCGTAGATGACTATGGTAGCGGCAGCGCCGGGGAACATGGGGGCGAGGCTGTGGTAGCGCTACTCGCCGGCAGTGTCCCAGATGTCGAACTCTCGCTCGCGTACTGGACAGCATCGGTTGGACCCGGATCCCGTTCCTCCGGTTGATCCGAGCGCACGCATCGACTTCCTCGATCCCGCACCTCTGGTGGATCCAATGGAGCGACGCACACCGGCCGCTCCTCTGTCGCTCCAGCTCCTACGCCTCGCAAGCCCAAGAGACCTCATTTTAGCGCTGGAATGGGCTGGTGGCTGGCGGACGGCCCAATGCACGAGAGGCGTCCGTTTCGGCCCGTGGAGCAGCAGCCCACAGGACATCTGGGCCACATTGCGAAACAGATTGCCTTTTTCCCATTAAATCCGACGGCCACGAACTCCCGGATCAATAAGACGGACGGCCGACAACACAAATTGATGTGAGAGCAGGGATTAGATGCGGTTATACTGTCCTTAATTGCCTGGGTTGTAGTTGTTGGGTACCAAAGATCAAGTGTTTGCAATAAGCTGTTATTTTCGCCTTGGTAGAGAATCTAGGTAACAATCCATAGAGATAACACCACTAGCCCCCGTCAAGCAACACTGCAATACAAATAAGAACCCACTTGTGCTACCAACGTTTATATTGAGATGTGGTGGTGCCAAGACATGAATAGTGTGTAGTCAAATGTAGGTGTTTAAATATATATTTTGCATGATTTCTACTTCTTATATGATATTTTTGCCAAAAAGGTGTGTTGTCAGTTGACTACACGGCTTGTGCGCGACTTCGCCACTTGCAGTGAGGTTGTCAGTCTCACTGGTCTTACTAGTTGCAACAAGTCATTCACAACGTTTTTATCTCTTGAACCATGCGTCCAAATTCTGAACCGTTTTCGCCGTTAGATTTCTCGCGTCAAGTTTATTAAGTAGATCGCATGTTAATAGGTTTCGAAGAAGTTTTTTTGCACGAAAACCCTAGAAGAACAGAAGAAGAAGAAAAACAGAGCCAGAAGCATGTTTTTTTTTCAAAAAACAATTCCTCCAAAACCTAGGAAAACCGAGAAAACAGAAAAGTCAAGTGAAAACTCCTAAAAGATATCTAAAACCCGAAACCAGATACAAAAATAAAATAAAAACAAAATCTTGAGAAGCGTCCAGCACGCGACACATGATGACGGTTGGACGCGGCACTTAAGCTCTCTCAGGACACGAAAATGACTCTTGCGGGGCTCTCGCAAGGGATACCCCTTAGTGACTCCTATAAGCGAGATATAGGGCGCCCGCATTAAGTGCGCCGACTATCTCTCACGTCGAGTCTACAGTAAAGGGCCGGCCGGCCCGTTAGCGCAATAAAAGAAAATAAAGGAGAGGGGAAAAAGAAAGCGTGGATCCAAGATCTCTCGGTTGCTTCGTTGCGCTGCTACCAGTAAGCCATCGGCAAGCTCTTGTCAGGACTATAGTACGCGAGCTTAGTGAAGTCAAAATACCGGATATAGTACTCTCTCCGTCCGGAATTACTTGTCATCAAAATGGATGAAAATGAATGTATCTAGAACTAAAATACATATAGATACATCCATTTCAATGACAAGTATTTCCGGACGGAGGGAGTACAATACTTTTCAGGTTTTTGTTTTTTGTGGTTTTCACCGACTTTTCTTTGTTTCTTTCTCCATTTCATAGGTTCGGCTAATACATGTACATTTGGAGTTCCAAAGAGACGCAACGCTGCACCAGAAGAAGTCTGAAAGTTTCGAGACAGTCTTCCTGCTTGTGCACGAGAAGCACACCGACACTGAAGGATGCTGAGACCAGTTCTGTTCTCTGCACATCGAGGTTCAGCCCTGCACCGGCCATAATTTGTTACACTACCTAATACAGTAATTTTCAAAAGCGAACCAAATCCCACTCTACCGCAGTACGTACAAACAAGCGCTATCGATCCCGAGTCAATCATCAATCTTACACGCGCCCCGCAGAGGACGCAGCACAGCCTAGTTCACACAAGGACAACGACAGGGGTGACAGAATGCGAAAGCCAAGAATGAATTGCCTGGAGACAGCAGCAGACCCTGCCCGACCCACGGGAACCGGACGCCATGACGGACGGAGATCCGCCCTCAGGGCGCCGTACGCCGGCGGGCAGAAGAAGAAGCCGCTGTTCTAGGTTGCATCAAGGTGCCACTTCACGCCTGACGGAGGTGCAGGTCCGGCGGCACCCGGAGGTACTCGGAGCTCTGCTCGCCCTTGCTCGCCTCGGTTCTGCCGCCGTTCTCGTCCTTCTTCGTGTTCAGGAACCGGCCGCCGGTGCCCCTCGCCCGCCGCATCGCGTGCTGGTGCCGGGACTCGTGGAGGTAAGGCTGCATGCACGCACCATCAGACGCAGAGCTTATACTAAACTATAGAACACGAAGGGTCGAATTTACTGAGGAAGACGGAGCGAGCAGGAACAGGAGAATGCATCGCAAACCTTCCTGGCCTTGATCGCCTTCCTCTCGAGCTCGGCCTTGGCGCGCGACTGCCTGCGTCTGAGAATGCCGTGGTACTGCTTGGCGTTCACGTACACGGGCTCCTCCGACACTTCCAGGGGCAGCGGCATGCGAGGGTGCGTCAGTCCGGGTAGCTGGAAGTGAGTCTGTGAGAGCCACAAGAGACGCAGACAGTTGAGAAACGCAGCCAATTCAGGCATATGATATGAGATGGTTTCTGGTGCTTAAACTGGCACGGAAACATACCACTGCGTGAACTCCGTAGGGGCCGACCATGCCTGTGTAGTAAGCGTCTGGGTACGGGTACGCTGCCGAGGCCTGCACAATGCCAACCAACATGTCCTTCACATAAAGAATCGCGCTGCCAGACGGTGCACATATGTGTTGCAAACATCAACGGAAAACATAGAGGCAGGGAAGGGAAAGAGTTGGTACGATCGGTTGGTTTAGTTCCAGCTGCGAGTATGGTGGTAAATAGTCTGACGCCAAAGCGGGCATCCGGGATGTGGCATGCTGCTTCTCTTCATCAAAGCTTCCGTCTGGCATTGGAAGAAGAACATCAAGGAAGCAAATCTCAGGCGTGTAAATTGCAGACAAGCTTGTTTCCACTGATGACAAGAGTTATTCAGGTGCATAAGTTACTCAAGATATTTACTCTCCATTCTGGTTTACTCCTACATAGTTATCACATGGTTCACATATTCTAGTTTACATAGTTATTACATACTCTAGCTTACAAGATCAAGATAGGACATGAGTTTCATCACCATTTTGCTGAAGCCACTCTACTCCCAAGATCAAAGATTTCATCGGAAGAAAACAGTACATAGGACAGGAGTAAATAAATCAAGTAGCAGTACAAGTAGTAGACAGGTCAACAAACCTTTTGGTTCCCCTGATCTCGGTGAGTCGTCGTCGCTGCTCTCGGCCCGCGCGTCGTCGTCGTCGACCGTCTTCTTCCCCTGCGTCGTCGCGCCCTTGGCCGCGCCGCCGCCCAGCGGGTTGCTCGACAGGCTGATCCCCGCCCCGCTTGCCGGCGCCACGACGGCCGGAGACACGGCCCCGAACCCTGTCCCCGTCCACCACGGCTGCATCGGCATGCCGGACGGCAGCCCTCTCGGCTCCACCAGGTTGCTCTCTCCCGGCCGCGATCCCATGCCACTCATCACAGCTTCTTCCTATTTTTGAGCAGGAGCACCAAGAGAACATGCACGCACGGGGCACACAGGTCAACGAAGAAGAAGATGCGTTACAAACTTACTAGAGTTTATTCAAAAACCTCAACGTGGCCACGCGCCGGATCCTCGGAAGAACGGATGTGGGTATATATACATACTTACATACGGATCGTGATGATTAAGAAATCGGTGGAGTTGTACCGGGAAGCAAGCAATTACTACTACTAGTGAACAGGAGAGCTCGCCCGGGACCAAGAAAGAAAGAAGGGATCGTACCAGCCAACGACTTTTCTCAAAGTAGCCTCCGGTGAGGTTCACGGCACAGTAGTCGTACTGTGCTACTGGATTACAATCCATTGACAGGTTGACACGCACGAACTTGAATCAATCAATGGAACACACAGCAGAAGAGTAAAAAGAGGAGATGTTCTGGCTAGAGTAGAACTGAGCCGAGGAGAAGAGACGGGAAATTCTCCGGCGCCCGCCGCTGCCGTTGGAGCAAAGCAGAGGCAGATACTATCGTCGCCTCGCCGGTCAACTTGGAGCCCTAATCTGCGGCGGCGCCGGCAACAGCAACCGTGACTTTCCTCCCCGTCGCCGGCGACAGCGAGATCCCCGCACAACTCGCTCTCCACTCCCCCAACACAGCCCAGCCCAGCCCGGTGGAATTCGAATAAGCCTCTTGCTTGCTTGCCACTTATCCATAGAAGAAACCCGGCGGGCGGGCGGCCGCCACCCCGAAATGGAAACACCGGTCGCCCCGCATCGGAACCGAGGCGCGCGGAAAAGGGCAGGCAAACACCAATCAAAAGAAGCGACGAGACGAGAATAAAAAGGAAAGAAGGAGGGAGGGAAGGAAGGAAGCAGACGAGAGGAGGGGAGGAGGACTGACCACTGGGCGCGGAGGGAGTGAGGCGGCGGCTCCCGGCCAATAGGGGCGTCTCCTTCCTCTCTCCTCCTACCTCGTTCCGAGAATCCCGAGAGGCCGGCCGGCCGGCCAATCCGTGGCCACAGATGGATGACAGGGGCGGGCTCACTCCCTCTGGTCGGTCGTCTCCACACGCACGCAGGCAAGGCTGGCTCTAGCTAAAACGGGATTGGGCGAGGGATAATCGCGGTGGTTAACATGGCTGTTAGGGGGGGTCCTGGTAAGGCCGATGGGTGGACGAGAGTGGAGACGTGTACCGGGGGAAAGGGAAAGGGATCGCCACCGCCACGCGGCCAGTGCGAGCAGCGGAGGTGACAGGTGAGAGCGACGGACAGACGAGGCAAGGTGGGTGGCGACGGACGGGAGGAGGAGATAATGCTAGACTAACACAAGGGGGTGGCAGGTTGATTAAATTACTAGCTCGATTTATTTACCACGCCTGGGTCTCCGGTAGAGTACTAATTAAGCTTTTTTTTAGGGAGTACTCCACTAATTAAGCTGGTGTGTTGTGTTAAATGCTTGGTCTCCTCCTGCGGTTGGTTATTAATAATTAATTAAAGTGTGCGCAGTGCTGCCAGGTGGCCCGGAATAGTGCTTCCGGGGGGTTAATGACCGTTTGGCCCATGCATAATATGCATCGCATATGCTGTCTCTCCTTTTCCTTCGGATAAAAAAAACAGATTGGTTCATTACTACCCATTATGAAGGTAGTAACATAACCTATGGTAGCGTATATGTTACTAGTGTAAGTTACTGTCCACCATGGCTAGTCTCAACACATTGTCTCCCCACTTTCGGAATTGCTTCACACACGACAAAGTGTGGCCGATCTATGCACACCCAACAAACTAGCAGAGGTTGCATGGCTATGGACGAGATTCCCTGGCTGGATTTCATCGTACATGCGCTGGTCATCCAACTTTTGTTGTTCGCCTAGCACTGCTCCCTCACTTTTTACATGCACTTAGCTCATTGAAGGTGGTGTAATTAGAGAGGATAGGTGGTGTCTTGCACCATGCATTTTTTACTTCACTCTCTAATAAGGTACAATCTTCTAATCATTAAAGAATTATTTTTTTGCTGAGTTGGATGAGAGATAAGAGAAGAAAGAAGTGAGGCTAGCCGCAGATTAACAGCCGGCTGTAGCACGGGCTTCAAAAAACATTGCGAGAGTGTGATTTGGGCCCTGCAGTAATAATTTAGTACTTCTTAGCAACTACTAGTTATTATACGTGTTGGCTATTAGGTTGGCTATATGTGATGTGGCAACTCCATATATCCAGTAGTTGGCTATACTATTAAACACGCTCTAATCCGTCTTGAAATTTCTATATCTACGCGTATTCGTGGACAGAAGGAGTATGTTACTACCTTCATAGCGGGTAGTAACATAAGTGTGATATCATTTAAGCCTTTATTTATTTAAATATAAAATCATTTTGCCTTGAGGTGCGTTAGTTTTAGGGTAAAATATTATGTAACGACAAACACTTCTCTCTTTATTAACTACATGCAACATAAGTAAGTTTAGGATGTGTTATCTTATTAGCTAACTTACTCTCACTATTTGAGCATACCCATGCCCTTTCTCATCGTCATGCAAACACGTAATCACCTCACTTAAAAAAAGTCTTTAGCCCATACATCTGTTCAAACAGATAGAGCAATGGTTTCATGTTTCTGACATTTTCCACATTATTCTTCATAAACAAGATGGTGTCGTCAACATACTACTCCCTCCGTTCGGAATTACTTGTCTTGAAAATGGATGTATTTAGAACTAAAATACATCTAGATACATCCATTTCTGCGACAAGTAATTCCGAATGGAGGGAGTACAATATAGCTACCCCTCTCTCAATCAAATGTGGTGCAAGTCCCACATTTTGGTCATTCTTCACCGGTACAAGCTGGGCCATTCTATGTTGACAGTTGGCAGCTATATTAAAGAGGAAAGAAGACAATGGACCTCACTGTTTCCCTCCCTTTAAGCTACCAAAATCACATATATGCATCTTGGGCGAACTCATAGTAGATATGTTGGAAGTTCTTCTTCTACGTAGGAACCGTGTCCTTTTACTTTACCCAAGAAGCCATGTCCACCGAACGGAATTTCGGTACTACTAGGTACTCCCTCCGTTCCTAAATACTTGTCTTTCTAAAGATTTCAACAAATGACTACATACGGCGCAAAATGAGTGAATCTACACTTTAAAATATATCTACATACATCCGTATGTTGAGTCCATTTGAAATGCCTAGAAAGACAAGTATTTGGGAACGGAGGGAGTACATACTACTATATGTTGGGTGGTTGAGTTAATTTACTACTGGTGTGCGCGAATAATCCACGCCTGCTCCAATACGGATCGTACACAAGACAGGTCAAGTAAAAGTAGAACAAGTTGGGTAGAAAGTTACCCCCCTCTCCCTCTGCATCATCTCACATCGCGCACGAAATCGACGATCTCATCCCCTACAAGGCTACAATATACCAAGGGCAGCATGTTGGCCAGCAGACAGGGAGGAGGCCACCTGGAAAACCGTTGCAGTCCGGTGGGCGCGGCCTGGCCCGGGCTCCCGTGCCCATGCATGGCCGGCCGGCCTTGTCGACCGCCGTGATTGAACTACCTCCCTCTGTGAACGGCGAGGCCGCCCGTTTTGGTTAAAGGGTAACCCGCCGAAAGAGGCAGGGGGAGCGGCAATCAGCTCGTGAACGGCGATGATGGCGCCCGTGCGAGGTCCCCCCGGCGGCCCGGCCGGATCTACTGACTGACCACACGCGCTGCTGCACACACTCGCCATGGGTGCCGCCCCGTCTGCCGTCGGGCGTGGTCATTGCGCGTGCGTGCCAGCGCCACGCAGCGGCGGGGGCGTGGCCCGGCTCGCGACGGTAGGTGGAGGTGGAGCGGGCGCGATGGCGACGGCGACGGCGACGGCGACGGCGACGGGCACGGGGGCGATGACGCGAGCGAGGCGGCGTCAGCATCCGCGGAGGAGTAATTTAGAGTAGTCTGGCACGGCGCTGTCTGTCTTGCGGCGAGGTGGCTGCTCTGGTTCCGAGGGCACCGCGGCGCCGGGACTCCCGGAGGCTGGCCAAGCGGCGGGACGTGGCCCCTCGGCTCGCCTTGGAGGAGTGCACTGCACGTATGCATGGATCATTTGGAGACAGTGCGCGAGGCGCGCGGGTTTATAATATACTCACTGTACTTCCTTTCGTTTCTACATATGAATGGACACGGACACATTTTAGAGCGTAGATTAAGGCCATGTTTGGTTCGGCTGTGGATTTCTAAAAGCAGTTGTGAAAAATGTACTGTGAAAAATCTGATGTGAAAAAGATGTAGGTTATTTGGCAATCCAGCTGATACAGCTTTTCAGATTTTGGCCCGCAGCGGAATCAGATTTTCGAAAGCACGTTCTAGGCTGCTTTCATTTTTAGTTCAGATTTTGGCAGCGGATTCCTGGAATCGTATTCTTCCAGGTTCGCCCTTTGGTTCAGATTCTGCTACACGACAGCGGAATCCGTCGATAAAAGTTAAACCAAACAGAGCCTAACTCATTTTACTTCATTTGTACGTAGCTGTATTGGAATCTTATTAAAAAGAGAAGAAACTTAGATTAGGCTACGCTACATGCCTAGTACATGACAGAACCAGTGCGATGCAGGGCCAGTGGCTTTGGAGTCTACCTTGAGTGACGGGCGGCATCGGTGAGTCAGTTTCCTTTTTTTTTTTTTTTTGACCTGGTGAGTCAGTTTCCTATCACAATGGGATTCCGATAGTCTTCCCTTCTGTTCTTTCCTACTAGTACTATCCATCGCAGAAAAGCTCTTGGGTCGACGAGCAGGGGCCTGTTTTAGCGTGGAATGAATGGCCGACAGTCTTCTTCAAGTTGGAACTGCTGCTAATTACTCTAATGAACTGGGATCTGAACATGGCCATGCTTTAGAATAATTTTACTTCACAGCTAACACAAATAAGGGCGTCTTCAAGACCGACACTCAAACCGTCCGGACCATGCGGTCCGAACGCGGTTTGGCATCCAACGCGAGAATGTATCGGTTCGTCGAGTCGCCCAGACTTACTTTTTTCGGCAAATCAGAGACAAACATGGGGGCTTCCCGGGAGTCCGAACAACAGACGCGTAGGACTCCCGCACCCCTGGCTCACCCAAAACCCTTCCCGGACCCCACGCCTCCATCCTCCCCATTTTCTCTCCTTTGTTATTTCTCTCCTGCCCACGCTGCCGCTCCACCATCCCGGCCGCCACGCCACACCCTTGCCAGAACCCTACGTCTCCGTCACCTCCAACGTTCCAGCCGGGCTCCACCCCGCTTCTCCTACGTCGTTGTTCAACCCCTCTCCTCCGACCGCCCCGCCAGATACCATCCGCTCATGCTATACTCACCATGCCCGGCAATTGGTTG